CTGACTGGGGTTATTAACCTTCCCTTGCTCTATCCAGAAAAAAAAAATCACCTGCAGTTCTACTTTGGGCAATAAACAAACCATATGAGTAGCTGTTTACCTGTACAGTATATGCATTTTCTTTTTGAGTGCATTGTTTGTCAGAAAAACAAATGATTTACATTATATATATAAAACCTGCTTACAAAAGGGATCTCTGTATATAAGCAATTATAAGACACGCTTAAATGTAATGTAAGTTAATCAATACACAAAGTGCTGAAGTAGTTGTTGGGCTGTAATGCTGGTCCTCTAGTTTAAATAACATTGGACTTCTGATTTTAACCAACTAGTCAATGGCATGTAAAGTATTAAAACCAGTGTGACAGCAGGACAGCAAGATAATTAGAATTTTAGAAAAGGGTTGCAATGATAGTCCCTGTATGTCTCTCACGGTAGGTTTACTATAAAATAGAAAGTTTAGCCTATACGCCACTTTTTAAATACAGCCCTCCTCACTGCCCCTCATGAATTTGAACATGTGCTGTTTGCGGGAGAGGACGCTTTCCTCCTCCAACACCTAAAGCAGTGCACAGCACACGTGATATTAATGGTCTTGAAGGTGCTGCACATTGCACACAGGAGCCAAAGCTTTGTGGTCACATGCATAGAAAAACATGGAAAAAAAAAAAGTATTTATATTGCAACTTAAATGTAAGAACAGCAATGGGAGAGGTATAGCGTGGCCTAAACTTCTACTTTGTCAACTATTCATTAGTAAAACTTGAGGGATGCAAAGTCCTTCAAAGTGGAGATAAAATACCAATTAATGCAAAATGAAAGCATTGAACAGTTATGGAGTATGTTAACCGAAAAATGTTCTAGTTTTGGATTATGAAAGGATTAAAATGTCTGGGTTTTTACTGCAAACCCCATTCATCTCCCCAATAAAGAAATAAAAACTGGATAATAAACTAATACTAATAACTGGACTAATAAACTGGAAATCATTAAATAACTCTCCTATAGGAATACAGAGACAGAACTCACCCTCCTTCAAATATTCGAACACGAGAGGGTTCTCCTCGCTTAACAGATGGCCCAGGCTCCTCAGATTTCACTCTCTTTTCTTCTTCTTTGACAGTCCTTGTTGTCTCCTTAAATACCTGCACAGGCAGATGAGTCTGCTTTTCATCCCATAATTCAGAGGAAGAAAAAAAAAAAAACTGACATTCAATAACAAACATTTCATAATCAACAGCACCTAAACAGGAGACTAATAATCCAGTGTACAGTGTTAAGAGATTTTTACTAAGAGTGGCACTGTTTCTCCTTGTACTTTTGATTTTCCATGTCCATTCCTTAATTTATAAAAATATTGTTTTTTTTATGCCACATAATTTTAATTTACCCCTGTATGGCCAAATGTGGGGCTGGTCTGTTTGGGTAAAGCTTCAGCAATTCCTGGTAGTGGCAGAGCTTGCGTGTCCCCTCTGGAACATTTGTATTGGCAATGGGGTAGCCCCTTGATAGCCCAAGAAAAATGTGTGGGGCAAAGAGGCAGCAGTCAAGCACTAATACTAACCAGAAGTGTTAAATATTTTCCCCATCACAACTGCCCAGCTATTGGGTGTAAAGATGTGTAGGCAATGACAGTTGCTTCAGGTACCTCTCTGAGTGTATTGCTGTAAACGAAAAACCTAAGTGCTCCTAATTCCAATAGAAGTATTTAAAATCTACAATAACTGTAATTTTTTCTTCTTTTTCACCTTACTTACAAATACTGTGAGAGAGACCACCAACTGAGAACACTTTTAGTTCCTTCAAAGCAGAATATTGGGACAGTCCTTCCCAGAACTGAGGAAATATCTGTTTCTCTAGTTGGTCTCTTCCCACAATTACCAACTGCTGGAGAATTGCAGCCCAAAGATGAGGTGTCTCTAGAGAGTCATGGTGTAGTGAACACTTGGGAAAAGATCATATTCACTAGTTTTTCTATTTGCATATAACATTTTGTGGTTACCACAACCTCTGTGGTTGGCTATGTAAAAGTGTGATGTTAATATTTCCAACCCAACAAAAAGAATTACAGCACAATACTTATCAACCAAAGATGTCTAATTTAGGCCCCAGATTTAAAATAGGACTGCTAACAAGTTAACCACTTTGGTTCAAAAATATAAATCTAACTTTTCTTTGTGACCATTGCCGAGTGAGGTCTTTCCCAAATAATGAAGGCACTGTTATTGGAAAAAAAAAATACTCATATTGTAAGGAGCTTTTCTTAAAAAATAATGTGCAAGATAAGTATCTCCAATTAGTGAAGAACCTAATGCACACCCATTGGAAACAAATGTAAAACACCTTTTATACAACTGTTAATATTAACTTGTGGACTTCCATTACATTTGAATACTTAAGCTGAAGCACCAAGATTCGACACAAGATGCTGCGAAACCTCATAAAGAAAATAAGATTAATAAAATATCAGTATTTGGCCTCCTATACATGGATGCAAAAATAAACACTGAGCACTGAGGGTTTTTCAAATTTTGAGTGGCCAGAATCTGAAGCTGTTGTGCATGGCAACAAATCTGCTTCTATCTTTCATTTTCAAAGCTTAACTGAACAAATGGAAGATAGAAGCTGATTGATTGTCATGCACAGCTGCTCCAGTTTTGATAAATCCCCCCCCCCCCCCCACTATGTTTAGACTATACAGTGCTTTTTTTTTTTTTTTTTTTTTTTTTTTTTTTACACAAATCTGAGCATAGCTTTACTAAATCCAAGGTGTCTAAGCACATAGGGGCATTTAGTTAATTTTACTAGAGCAGCATTCAGAGAAACGCCAAAGGTCTGCATTCTGGGAAGAGTATTTTGTGTTGTTTTATGTTGTAGACATGTAAACATTTGTGCGAATATTTACATGCATTTAGTGCAAGGCACTCTTTTGGATCCACCTGCCTCCTAGCAAAGGAGGACATTAAAAAGAGCTAGGAGGAAGACTCCATCTAGCTTCCTTAGTTGTTAGAAGGCAGGTGGCATTGTTGGCTGTGGCCTCTGCCAAGATGTTGATAATAGCATGTAATCAGCAGGTGCCACTGCCGGTTAGACACAATTGATGTTGACATGCTGGCCCTGAATAAATGATTCATTCATGAGCATGGCCTGTCATTTTGCACATGCATGGCTACCAATTTACATGGATAGGAGGGGGTGAGCAAGAATGGGGTGCTGCACTTCTCTGCCTGGCCCACTCTGATTTCCTGTAGGAGGAACCAATTCTGCTTGTATATAATTTGCTTGGCCTTGAGCAATCAAATTGTACATAGTCAAAACAGTCCCTTCCAATGGCCACAAGAAAGGACCTGAAGGAGAAAGGATTTCCAGAAAAACAGCCCATAATATAATACATATTCTCTTGGGACTATAGAATGTTTGGCCTTTTATGTGGTAGAAAACAAAGAGTGAAAGAGTGCGTAATTTAGCAAAAGACAAAATTGGCAGGGCTGACACCTCTCAATCCACAAAAATCCTGTGCATTGTCAGCCCATAACAGGAATTGGGTGTAGAGTACATTTCTGACCCATCAACAGTATTTTCTGTACGGTCTCTAAATGGTTAACAAATGGGGAAATGTGCATTTATTCCAGAGATGTACTAAGTTATTTTTTTTTCCCTATGACATATACTTTAATGGTGAATGCTGGAATAAAAAGACCCTTAGTGCTCAGTGTTTCTTTGCATCCATGTACAAGAGGCCAAATACTGATAAGCTGTGAATCTTTTTTTTTGGGGGGGGGGGGGGGGGGGGGGGAGTTTCACAACATTTTGTTTAAAATCTTGGTGCTTTAGCGCGAGTATTTTTTTTCCCCATGACATATACTTTAATGGTGAATGCCGGAATAAAAAAAGGAAAATGAAATGCGCAATACCATGAAATAGTATTTGCCCACTTCCTGATTTCCTATACTATAGCACTTTTTTTGTACACATCTAACAGAAATCGAATAATGAATAAAGGGCACTTGAATGAATAAAGAACACATTATTTACTTGTTATGTACTGAATGAACAAAGTACATACAAAACTGGGTGGCACTGTAAGAAAAAGAAAAAACTTCATTCTAGTTACAACAGACCTATAATTAACACTATTTATTATCACTATGTCTTTTAGGGATGGAAATGTATAGAATACTTGCTTTCCAGGAGAAAATGCTACTTTATCTTTTCCCTAGTCCTAGTTATGTGATCAAAAGTCTAGGCCTTTAACCAGACACACTCTCTGCTGAAGAGAAGCATCTGCCAATCTGAAATCAGATCCTCCCTTCCAACATACACTATATTGCTCTCCCTTTGCAGCTATAACAGCTTCAACTCTTCTGGGAAGGCTGTCCACTAGGTTTAGGAGTGTGTCTATGTGAATGTATGAGCATTCTTCTAGAAGCGTATTTATGAGGTCAGTCACTGATGTTGGACAAGAAGGCCTGGCTCACAGTCTCTGCTCTAATTCATCTAAAAGGTGTTCTATTGGGTTGAGGTAAGGAATCTGTGCAGACCAGTCAATTACTTCCACCCCAAATGCGCTCATCCATGTCTTTATGGATCTTGCTTTGTGCACTGGTGCACAGTCATGTTGGAACAGGAAGGGGCCATCCCCAAACTGTTCCCACAAAGTTGGGAGCATGAAATTGTCCAAAATGTCTTGGTATGCTGATGCCTTAAGAGTTCCCTTCACTGGAACTAAGGGGCCAAACCCAACCACTGAAAAAACAACCCCACTCCATAATTCCCCCTCCACCAAACTTTACACTTGGCACAATGCAGTCAGGTAAGTACCGTTCTACTGTCAACTGCAAAACCAGACACGTCCATCGAATTGTCAGACAGAGAAGCGTGATTTGTCACTCCAGAGTACACATCTCCACTGCTCTAGAGTCCACTTGCGGCATGCTTTACACCACTTTATCCAATGCTTTGCATTGCACTTGGTGATGTAAGGCTTGGATGCAGCTGCTCGGCCATGAAAAACCCATTCCATGATGCTCTCTATGCACAGGAGGCAACCTATCACACATCACGCTTGAAGTCACTGAGCTCCTGAGAACAACCCATTCTTTCACAAATGTTTGTAGAAGCAGTCTGCATACCAAGGTGCTTGATTTTATACACCTGTGACTATGAAGGTGATTAGAACACCTGAATCCAATGATTTGGAGGGGTGTTCCAATACTTTTGGCAATATACCGTACATCACCTGACCTGTGCCTACATTTAACACCGCTAAGTGTCAAAATTGTTTTCCGTTATATGTTTATTTTGTATACTGTTTCTGTTGTATGCTGATAATTAGGTTTGAAGGCTAAAAAAAAAAACCCAAAACAAAACAAAAAAAAAAAGAACAAAAAACAGTTCCTACCTCAGTCATTTTCGGTTTCTGCGTCTTGGAGGGCACCAAAAGGCTTGAATCTGCTTGAAGGGCATCGGCAGTGGTGTAAATCTCAGAACTCATTTTCTGTTTCGATCTTAGTAGAGACAGTGCCACCCTGGTGGAAACTCCAGGAAGATTTGGGTTGTATAAACTAATGCACCAACTGGAATAAACAGATGTTCTTCGGTCAGTTTGTGGAGTGTGATTTGGCTTGACATAATTCAAGTAGCACCAGCTGACATTTGTGGTTGTGTGAAGAGTTGGAAAGACTTGCAGATTTTTAGCCTCTGCTTCTTCATGAGAGACTGTCAAATGGATGCTGACAGGTGTTTGAGATGTAGTTGGTCTGATGGATGAGATTGGAGTGAACAGGTCTTTATCATCCTTTTCCACCTTAACCGTTAAGCTATCATCCTGGCTTTGGTGTTCCTCTGGCGATTTACTGTATGGTGGATGCAGAGGTGATGGGGGAAGTTGGGTTTTACATCTATCTAACCCCAACAGTTGCTCACAGACAGCTGTAGCTTCAGGTGCCAACAACTCTAATCTGCGTTTTGACTGCGTAACAGTGGCAGTACTTGAGGTTCTGCTTCCTTCCAAAATGGAGTGTGATTTTATTGTAGCTTTTTCATATTTTTCTTCTGTGTCTTCTTCCTCTTTTACTCTTTTTTGCTGCTGGGTCTCCATTGTAAGTTCTAAGCTACCAGCAGGCGATAACATACGTTTACTACCGCCAACAGAAGACGAGGCTGCATCAAAACCTAAAACACCTTCAACAGAAGAAGTGAGTGGTATGTATCTGCTTGTTTCTGTCTTTGGAAATGGCACATGTAGAAAAGGTATTTCATCAATGGAGCTCTGTTCTTTTGGTAAGATATCAGACAAATCAAAGCTGTATCCCTTGGAACGCCCATCATTTATTTTCTGTATGACAATGGAGGATGGAGTGCGATGTGACTGTGTAACAAGAATTTGTGAGAGTGTAGTGTACATAGCATTGCCATATAAAGGCATGTGTGTCTGAACTCTGACAGGAACAACAACTGATACTACAGGCTCAGGACATGCAGGGATCACTTGGGCAGTAGATTCCAAAGGTAATGGGCTCTGAGAGGGAGTGCCAACATTTTCTGGGAAATAATCTTGACCTGAAGAATGGCTAGATGCACCCAAAGGAGGGGAAACTTGTGGTATGATTTGTGAATAGCGTTCACTAGCTTGTGCAGGTAATGGTAGAGCAAACTGGGAATGTACTGGCATGAGGAATGTGGGAAGAAAAGGTAAAGACACTGGGTAGGAAGAATGTAAATATGGAGAGTGATGCCGGAAAGGTATGTCCATGGTATGCAAAGTTAACTGTTGAGGTAATGAAAGATGGTCTGGGTGTAAAAGGGATTGATGTAAAGAAAGTGGAGGAGTGTGAAACACAGATGGTGAAATTGGCCCCAAAGAAAACGGAGCAGAAATAATACTGCTTGTAGCTTGAGAAGATAACAGTTCTGAAGCATGTTCAGACAACTGCAGTAGTGGCTGTATTGGGAAGAGAGATACCTGTTGCCTCTTTTTAACTTCATCAGTCAAAGTTTGGGCTGTCCTTTCTTTCTGCTTTGGCTGGGAGGAAGGACTATGCTGCTGTTGCTCTGCTGGGGATGTAACAGAAGACTGCTCAAAACAGGGCTTTCCAGGTATGTGGCTTGAAGAGGGCTGTTCTGGCTCTTTCCAATCTCTAAGGCTTAATTCTGGTTCAAGTTCCACATGTCTGCTTAGAGATGTCTGTCTAATAGAAAAGCACTTCCTCCTCTCCTGAGCTGTTAGCATTGATGTTGCAGTGGTGGATGTTAAATTACCATAATCAAAAGATTTGCTTCGATTTTCTGAAACCTGCAATGTATGAGATACATTTGGTGTCTGTTCAGATGCAGACCTCCTCATTTCTCTTACTTGGTGATGGTGAGAAGGAACAGTGAGCATATGATGTCCAACTGTTTTGGTAGTAGTCTCTAGCTGTTGACTTGATGTTTCTGGTTTGGAGCCTTCTTCTCGGTCAAATGAAACAGAATGACTGGATGCATGTGAAATACTACTGTCTTGACTAGGGCTTCGAGTGAGTGTTGTTGATTCAAAACTAGAGTCTCCAGAAGACTGTGCCATTTCTGCCAAGCGCAGCCTCTTCTTTTTTGGTGGGAGTTTCTCAGCAGGAAGTTGTGCAAGAGTTTGACTTCTTTGTGGCCACTGAAATTCTTCAACCTTCTCTGGCTCTTTTAGAGGATCTTCAGGTTCAACCTCTGGCTTATCTGGTTCTTCAGTGACTAAGATTTCTGGCACTTGAATATTATGCTGCCGGACTAACTTAGGTTGCAAGGTATGAGATGAGTGAGGATGTTGTCTTGCAGTACGATAAGGTGCATCTTCCTCGTCAAAACTACTCTTCTTTTCCATAGACTCAGATTTTTCAAAAGAGCTAGTGTGCTGAATTACAGAAATTTCCTTTGAAATTGTACATTTCTCTTTGCTTTCAAAGGTTAGTGCGTGAATATCGGACTTTGGTGCAGTTTCACTTCTACTGGTAGACTGCTTAACTGCATCACTAGACAAATTCAAAGATGTATTAGGAGAAGCATAACAGGATTCTAGCGAAATAGAAGATGTTGGAAACTCAGACCATTCAGCTGACTGGGGCTCTTCATCATCCCCAAGGCTCTTCTCTTTTCGCCTTTTTCGCAAAGTAGACATCTCTAAACTTGGTCCCAATTTGTAATTTGATATTGGAGACCATGCTTCGTGTTCTGGATGTCCTTTTCCGGTTTCAACAGAACTGCCTGCTACTATAACTGGAGGTTCTACTATTTGCATTTCAGAGCAATAATATTTCTTATGAGTTTCATAATTACCCTTTTTTTTGTATCGAGCACCACAAATATTACATTCATAGACCAAACCCTTTACTCTACCCCCTTTCTTTGATTTCCTGGAAACTTCTGTTTCTTTTGATTCCAGATCATCAGATGTTTTTCCAGAGGTGTCTTTACTTGTGTTGCCTTCCTCTGAAGAGTACTCCATTCCTAACGGTAGCTCTATTGCTGGTTGTCTCTTTAGCAGTCGAGGATGAGAACTAAGCATATGACTGCGGCTTACCGCTTCAGAGTCCACAATTCGATCATCAAATGAATAACTAGCTCTGAAAGGATGTGGGGAGCTAATAGTGCAGGCTGAAGAAGGCATAGAGTGGCTTCGAAGAAGAGGCACTGTCTCTGTGGCACTGTGGGACTGGTGATGGGGCGTGAAGGAATGCTCAGCTTTCGTCTTCTCAGATGACATTTTAGATTCTATCTGAAGAGATCCTGGAGACTTGACATCAAACTGAAAAGTTTCCCGATACAAAGCTGCTTTAGGTGACTCAATGCTGCTTCTCCTTGACAGAGAACTTCTCCTTGGTTTAACACTGTCAATCTCGCTAGTGTCCACTACAGCCTCATTAATAGTAATGAGCTTGGTAATATGCTCAATTACCTGTGTCCTAGGAACAGACATTGGTATTGAACTAGATTTTTCCTCAGCAGTGCCCAGAAGAGGAGAGGGTGTTGCTAAAAATGTTTGTTCTCTGCCCAATTCTTCCACATTTACCTAATATAATTTCAGCATAGGACTTTGCATTTGTGTTAGGAGGACTTATTTGCTGTTCAGCACTTTCAGAACGTGAAAAGTAACCAGACTCTGTACTGCCTTTACTTCCAGGACTGAGAAATGTCTGCTCCTCACTGGCCTTTTTTCTCTCACTTAACCTGAGAGCTAGCTTTTGTTTTATACTATGGGTATCCTCTGACTTTAGCAGTAGCTCAGGTGAAGGATCTTTAAATGCTACACTCTCCTCAAATGCATGGGGCACATTTTGTTGTGACAAAGAGAAAAGATCCTGACGTGTACTATGATGTTTTGACATTCCTTGAGACTCAGATAATGGCAAATGATGCTTCTGCTGTGGAGACAGTTCTGTTATATTTGACATTGTGCTTGTCTCATCCTCTGAATCTGTGCTTTCTCCTTCTGATGGCTCATCAATTTCTTCTCCTCCAAGCCTCTCCATCTCCAAGTTTGATGGATATGCTTCTGTTCCAATTTCTGAAGCCAACCCTGCTTTGATTCTGTGAGCATGAGACTTTCTATGTTTATAAAGATTACTTTTTGTTTTGAAAGAAAATCCACAGGGGACGCAGGGATATGGGCGCTCACCAGTATGAGATCTGATATGTTTTTGTAGAACACTTGGTTTTGCACATGGTCTGCTGCAGTATTGGCATATATACTTTCCTGGTTTTTGGGGCTTCTTTTCTTTTTTATGAGGTTCATCGACTTGCTTTACAGAAACCTGAGTTGGCCGTTGGACGTATACTTTCTGTGAAGGATCTTCTGCCAAACGGGAAAGTCTGGCATGTAGTGCAGATGAAGACTTGGACGGACCCGACTGTACTGGATCTACAACTTGCCATGCTGACCCTTCAAGGCCATGCTCTGGATCTATGCGGGGGGGGCCATGAATGCTGGTGAAACAGTTTGTGATTTAGAAACGTGAAGTTGCTCAAGAAGTGGAACTTTGGGTTTGCACGGTCTTCCCACTCTCCTAGGAGGTCCTTCTCTTGCAATCTTTAGGGAACTTGGGAAATGTTGGTGTGGTAGGAGATCTTCCCGACTACAACCTGGATAATCCTCTGTCGGAGTTTCTGTGCCTTGAATCACCTCTCCT